TTAGTCATGATGAAAGCTTGGTTAAGAATTTGATAACACCCTGGCCCAGTTGGGGAAGGTGCAGCAGGGGAAAACCTCATACTATTGTGGGCACAATAGGGTCTGGAGGCACGAGGCACACAGTTCTAGAAGCTGTGGCTTCTGTGAGGCTGGAAAGGGAGCTAATATTTACTGAGCATCTGTGTGCCAGGTACACTGGTAGGTGCTTAACACCATCGTTTTTCACGCTCCTAACAACTTCTAAGATCGGTCCTGTTAGCCTGGGCTACAGATGAGGAAACCGAGGGCTGGAGCAGTAAGGGAACGTGTCTCCAAAGCGTCTCTGACCGGACTAAACACAGGCTCGAACTCGGACATCCAGGCAACTCCCGGCAGCTCTTCAAACAGAATCTGCTGCTCAGCTGCCCTTCCCTGTAGTCTAAGGCATCTTGTGTTTATTTGGATCTTTCTTTGCTTCAGACGGGCTGTAGGGACAAGGCTCCAGACCTCCCAGGCTGGAGCTCCAGCTCCTGAAGAGTGTGGGCTCTGTTGCCCTTTCCAAATGGGAAGCTCCCTGGCGGCAGTGTCTCCCCCATCAGACTGGGGGCTGCCTGGGGTTGGGCCGTGCCCGCCGCGTGAGGCAGGGGACTGCCTCTCTCCCCAAGGACTAGACCACCCTCCTCTGGGCCACACTGCAGAACAGGCTGGGCACAGAGCAGGCAGGCAGCATTGCTGCGGAATGGGTCACCAGAGGGCTGGTCGTCTCAGTCCCGGGAAGACCACGGAGCTCTGCTGAGGGCAGTCCTGTGGGGAGCTGGACTGCCCCAGGACCATCAGTATTTACTGCCCGGGGCTCCACAACCAGGGGGTAGGGTGGAGAGGATGCCCAAAGGGCAGCCCCTTGAGGACCTATACAAAAGGCTTTCCACTTGAGCAGCCTGTCTTTAATGATTATAAACGCACAGGAGTTTAATCCATTTTTGATGTAAGCGCTAATAGCTCTGTGTCCTTGAAGTTCAAAGCGGGTGCATACATGTCACTAATTAGCCAAGCACGGAGCCATTCAGCTCCCTCTCATGTTTCTAATTAGGTCTTTAATAACAAACAAACTCCGACCTTACCAAAAGGCCCCCATTCATCAGACAGTCAAGGAGGGTGGCTGTTTCTGTGTTTATGGCTGCTCCGGGCCCTTGGTTCTATATGGACACGCTCTTAATCTCAGCCAGGACTGGCCTGTCCTAGAATGTGTTGCTGCGGATGAAGACCCCTTCAGCCTGCCCTGGAGGGATGGACCTCCTGGCCCTGTTGGGAGGACCAGTGCCAGGCAGGACGGCCCCGGGCTCTAAGGCTGCATGCAGGCTGAGGATCCAGACCAGCTCTCCTGGTCATTAGAGGAGGTGGGGGGAGCTGCCTGGCGTGGCTCTTTGTATCCATTTCTGAGGTATCGATGCTGATAATAAAGTCACAGAGATGGTGTGAGACTCTACATCTGGCAAGAACCTGCTGGTACTTGAGTCCACGGTTATACATTGGACTTGACCAAGGGAGCTTTAACGGCCACTGAGGCCTGGGGTCGACGGTGGTAGCTTCTGATTTAATGGGTCTGCAGTGTGGCCTGGACCCCAGGACTTTCAAAAATTCTCCAGGTGATTCTAACATGCAGCAAAGTTCAAGAGCCACTGTGCCCCAGTCTTAGATTTGCTCACCGACTGTAGCTGTTAACAGGTTCACCTTTATTAATAAATGCCATCCGGATAGCCAAGACCTAAAAGTTTAACCAACCACGCCCAAGGATGGAAATCTGACAACAGATTTTTTCAGTGATACACAATTCTGGAAATATTTCTGTCCCTCTCACTTCAGGCCTTCACGCATGAAAAATAAAAAAATGCAGTGCTGTTTTCAAATGCATTCTCATCACCTGGAAGCCCCTGGCTTTCTCTCCAGTCACTCTTCTCAGCTCTTAAGGCACTGTCACTGTCACCTCCCCATGACAAGGGATCGAGAGCTTCGGAAACTGTAGCAATATAGAGCTACAAAGTTGAAAGGTCCTTAATCACCCCCTAGTCTGAAACCCTTTGCCCCAAAATCACCTAGCCTATCGAAGCTAGACCAGAACCAAGATCCCATTCCATGCTCTGATCCTCTTAAAGACAGTTATCATCCTTATCTGATCGATCCACAAGGCAACCCCGTATCCTGGGAAGGTGAAGGGATAAAAGGGAAGCCTCTGAACTGTTTCTGTCCCCAAGGCCAGAGCACGTACTGCTGTGGGGCCAGTCCCTGGACACGATGTAACCCTCCAGCAAGTTATACCCAAGCCTGACTTGTTTCTCTTCAAGTCAGGTGATCTGGGAGACACTGAAATCTCAGGGCTGCCTCAGTGGGAGGTTTAAAGACTATTTCATGCACCTGGGGATAAACAATCTAGACCCAGAAAAGTCAAACAATGTGTCCAAGGATACACAGCAAAACCGGATCCTCCAACATCTGTCCATGTCTCCTGGTTTTGCTACTGTGTTTCTAGTCTTCTTCCCTGGGAGTGGGTTGACATTGCCAGACCTTTCCCTGGGTCAGTGCCTAACTGACCCCTGACTCCGGGGTATCCTGAGCGTGTCTGTAAGACAGCCTCTCTTTCCCCCAAGGCCCGGAAAGCCAACCCGCTGCAGGTTGCAGTCAGAAATAACTTCCAGAAAGAGAACGGAGAGTGGGGCTGGGCAGCCTTTGCCTCCCACAGTGCTCTACCACAGGCACACAGGTTTGCACTGATTGCTTACCACAGACCTGGACAGACCGTTTTATTAATATTAATAAGTAACCAGGAACAAAGGGCCCCTTTATTTTTAGCTTTCTCTAATTGCGTAGTAATTACTCATCTACAAAACAAATGAGCCCCTGCCCGCGGTTGCCATAGTACCGGGAGCCCAGCCTCACTGCAGGACGATTGGCCGAGGATCCTGCTGCTCCCGCCTCCGGCCCCGCCCCTCCACAGCATTGGCCCAAAGCAAAGCCCCAGCAACTGGGCGGCCAATCGTCGGCTTCCCAGCGACCTTCCAGATTCAGCCCTCACCGCTCACCGGAAGGGCTTGTTGACTCATCCCTCTGGAGAAAGAGAACGGGAGAAGGTCTGTCTGGCTCAAAGAGGCCCTCCCTTGCTCCGTCGCCTAGTTTCTTTTGGGCAGTGGCTAACTTCCTTCAGGCTTGTTTTAGCTAAAGTCTCCTTTCAAATAATAACAATTACCTTCAGGCTGGCTCCCTCTTACCCGACCACGCCTCCTCTGGGCCTCCTTTGTCTGCCTGTGGTCTGAAAAGGATGCAGGGACTTGGAAGCCAGATCAGAAATGTCAGCCAAAGCCAGACAGAACCATGACCTTAAGTCTGCAACAGCAGAAGCTGCGGCATATATGCATTATATGTGCATATAATGTTTCCTGAGGCCTCTTATAAACGGGCTTAGGTTCTCTCTCCCCGCAAGGATACGGAGAATTAAGTTGATGGGCAGCGGCGGTTTTCCGTTGAGTATGTGTTAAGAATGCAGACCTCCACTCAGGAATCCAAGGGGCTGGGGCGACGGGGCATCTGCTGACGTGGTTGAGAGCACAGATGTGATGAGACAGACCCAGGTTCTAAACCTGTCTCCACCACCTCTACAAGCTGTCTAAGCCACAGTTTTAAAATGTTCAAAATGGGAATGAGAAGGATAGTGCCCTCTTCATAGGATTATGAGAATTAAATGGGGGTAGGGCAGGTGGGCCTAGCGCCGTGCTTGGCTCACTCATGCAGGAGTTATTATTAACATGTTCTATTAGCATCTCGTATTAAATTTGGCTGGGAAGTGACTCTAGCAGTCTATCAATCACCTGGAACATATCCCTCCCTTAAGGGACCTCCAGATGGGGGTGAATGTTGAGATGCTGGCTGGAACCCTCCTATCCATGCCACAGAGTGGATTTCATCGTGGCTCTCTCATCCTGACAGATCTAATTCCAACAGCCAATCATAGCTGTTCAAAAGCATTATTTGCCCACCTCCTGTGCTGCAGGATCCCAAGCTGGCAAGGGGAGACCTTTTTATTAATATTAATAAGCATCCAGGAACAAAGGGCCCCTTTATTTTCTGCTTTCTCCGACTGCATAATAATTACTCATCTACACTAAGAATGAGGCTGACTTTGTCTCCTGGAGGCAAATATAAACTGATGGTTTATATTGTTGGAGAAGGCAGGCGCCACTCTGGGATACATGCAAAACATGTTCCATAGAGTCAGAATCCCGGCTTTCATCCAGAAGACCTCACCAATCAGGAAGAAGGCTGAGGACACAGTAATGTGTTGAGGAGGGGCACCCCAGCTAGGGTTAATCAGGTGTGGCTTCCTGGCAGTCTGAGCCAATTGTAATGGAGGGAGCAGAGATAAGGACAGACAGAGGCTGCCATGAGGGCACAGTCCCAAGCAGGGAATGAATAATAACTCGTTGGCAGAAGCAAAGAAGAGTCACAGGAAACTAAGGCGGAGTACTGTGACCAAATGCTCCCCCCTCCCCCCGCCGTGTCTGCCTTGCTCCCCTAACCTGGCTCCAGATCACAAACCCAGCCCCAGCCAGGGGGATTAGGGAGGGGTCGAGCTGTGTTCTGTGGGACCAGCTGTGGGATCAGCTGCCAAGCTGATCTTCCTTAGCTGGTTCTGTCCTTACCAGGTTCCACCGCCATAAAGCATATGAACCTCTGTCTCCCACCAGTAGGACTGTATCAATCTGGGTTTCAAGGTCTCCCAGAATCTAGCCTGCCTCTACTTCAGCAAGCCTGTACCCCCACTGCCCATCAGGCAGCCTGCCACTGTCCCCCGGGGAACTGGCTGCTCATCCCATGCTCATCATGACCTCTTATCCAAGTTCTCCCACCTGGAATGTCCTCTTACCTCTCACTCCACACCCTCCAGTGTCTACTTTGTGTCTTGCCTCCTATCTGAGCTTCCCTGCCTGCTGAGTGCTCTCCGATCAGGCAGGAACGTAGGCTCACTGAAGACCAGCTCTTGTAACAACGGTGTGCTGTGTCCGCCCCCAAAGACTGGGAGCTTGTTGAAGGCAAGGACCTGCCCTCAAATTCTGCATCCCACCCCAGACCCCAGTGTGATGGCTGAGCCCAGAGTTAATCAGCTAATGGGTAAGAGCAAAAGACCCGAAGCCTCTCTTTTACTGGGCAGTGATAACATGAACATTCATGGAGCGCTTACTCTCCATGATCTGTCACTCGTCCTCCTGCTTTTTAGTCTCAAATCTAATCTAGCTTGCTGTCAAGGCTTGTCTGACATCCAGATCTGATGTCACTTCCTTGGTTCAGGCCTCTCCGAGGCTCCCCGGTGTGTGAATCCAGGCTCTTTAACATGTCACCAAAGGCCCTCTGCTCTGGCTATGCCAGCCCTCCGGCTTTATCGGCGGCTGCTTCCCATGCCCCATCCCCACCCCACTGCATTTTATTCTCCAGCCAGAGTGAACCGTTTGTGGGGCTTCAGATTTACTCTACTGTTCTGGGCTCTGGTGGCTTTGCACATGCTGTTCCCCTGGCTCTTGGGGAGCTCCTGTTTGTCCTTTCAAAGTGGAGACACTCACTCCCCTGTGAAACCTTCCCTGACTTCCCAAAGCCAATCACTTCCTCCTCTGTGCCCCTTCTGTTGCCGGACTAATGGCATCATATTATAAGTACCTGTTAGCCTCCACACGAGGCTGGGAGATACCCGAGGGCAGAGACTGTGCTCTGCCTTCATCTAGGAGATTCCACGGCTGTGGTGGGCTTCATGCTTGACTACCCAGCCACACGCTCCCTTACCCTTTACCTTACCTTACCTTTATCCGCACCCAGACTGTCCTTTGGAAATCCATCCTTCTTGGGCTCCTCAGTTTGAGGGTGGGGGTATGGATCCCACTCTCAGCGATTGGCTCTCACCAGCCAGGCGTTAGTCAAACGGCACAAAGCTCTGGGGTCTGCTAGAATTTGGGACCATCTGACCCCCTCTTCTTCTAGACTGGTTGGTATGAAGCAGGAAACTGTTGTAGCCATTTGGCACCACAGGAAAGCCAACATAAAGACAATATTGAAGCCAAAAGGAGGACCGAGCTAAGAGAAGTGCCGACTCCCCAGAGCAGTCTACACATGAAGCCCACTCTTCCATGGAGCTTCCAGAATGTTAGCTGGTAAAGTCCCGATAACATTTGACCAGGCTGAGTTGGGTTTTCTGATATGCCCCAAAGCCCCCCGACTCAAGGCCGAGGACAGTGCCTGCCACGTGTAATAATAATTACTGTTGTTACACACTTAATAAATATCTGCTGAATTGGACTCCGTGGCAGATGTGCCCTGGGCCCAGTTCAGCAATCTATACCTGAAAGGTGAGACTGTGAGGTCCTGGGACCTGAGTCCTCAGAGGACACAGTGCCGGTTCCAAGGCTGCTGGGCTCTCCCAGCACGTCCCGCATGTCGGGGACATCTGGGCAGCAGGTGAGTTCTTCAGAAACAAACATGGTTTTTCTGCAGGGCTCCTTAAAGGAGGTGAAGTTCAGGGTTCTTCACCCTTGACCAAAGCCTTGCTCTCCAGGTGACTAGCTGTGTGACTCTGGGTAAGTCACACAGCCAATCTGCACGTCAGCTTTCTCTTAAAAACAAACATGTAAAGCCAGGCCCAAACCTTCTGCCTTCCTGCCTGTCTCATGGGCTAGCTCTGGTCACGGCAGTCGAACCTCTGCAGAAACATAAGGGACCATGATGCACCCACGCCTGTGTTCTTTTGAGGATTCTCACCAACACATGGGGTCAACAGCTTTTGGGGCTCCTCACACCCTGCAGTGGCCCCACCCAGCCCAGGGGGCAAATAAGGGGTCCCTCTGCCCATCTCCAGTGTGCTTTACATGCTCTTATGGAGCCTCCAAGGGCCCTCTCACACATTCGACCCCTCCTGCACACAGCAGGGCCTGGGCTCCCGAGCCAGCATGAGAGGGCCAACCAGCTCAGGGGACAGGCACGGATGTGTCACCGTCTGAAAATGATTCCACTGATTTAAAAGACCATTAACATTCCCCCACTCCATTCACTTCAGGATTAACTTATACTCAGGTCTGGGCTTCAAGGCTAGTCACTAATTGCACTAGAGTTGATTTATCAAGTGCATGGTGTTTCTATTACAAAATTATTGATTACAGCTGATGTATTTTATCCTCAACAGGGTTGGTCCCAAAGCCCTCGGAAAATGAATGAAGCTGAGGTCAGCAGCGGGCAGCTCAGCACATTATTATAAATTCACTGGGGTTACTGAAATCCAATGCTGGACTCTTTCTGGTGAAAGACCCGGCTCTCCCAGGAATGAAGATTTTAATGACAAACTGAGAAACGAGGTGCCCGTGCCCAGAACGCAAGGCCATGGACTGGGAGGCATGTGTTCCGGGCAGGGTCTTTTGGGTAAGTCTGACTGGTTGCAGCAGCTGGTCATAACAGGTCACGGATTTGCTCTCCCTCTGGGCTAGTGTGCTGGCTCTATTCCATGGACGCAGATGTGGCTCTATCCCAGCGAGAGCGCGTCCCCAGGACCCTACCCCCAGCTTTGGCCATCTTGAGGCCCCAGAGGATGCTTGCCGCTAGCACAAGGGAGGCTGGGTGGGAAAGGAGATGATTGCCCTGCAGCCCCCTTTCCTGGACACTGGATCCTGCTGATGGAAGCGCAGGAAAGCCGACTTCAGAAATGGAGGCAGCACATTGATCCACTTTCCTTTTTTAAATGAAGCTGATGAGAAGTAATGCATCGTGGGAAATAAGGACTCTCAGCAGGAGGGATCTAGATTCTCAAACCACTGCAGGCAAGAAATGTTATCTGCCTTTATATTCCTTCCTGCCAGCCGCGAAGCAAACCTTCAACGCGTGCTTGTTGAAAGCAACACCTGGGAACCCTAGAGCTTAAGACCCAAATGACACAAACAATTCCCGGCTCCCTCCAGCGGCCGGAAGAGTGTGTGTGGGCCGCTACCGTTCACGCCCCTCAGCCCCGAACACACATAAGGCGAAGGCTGCCACGGGGAAATGGAAAATACCCCGGGAGGGGTGGGACAGGCAAGTCTGCTTCGTGAGCACCGGCACCTACCCTCCTCCCCAAAGCATTTTCTCTATGGTTCAAGTTCAACTAGTTCTTCTATGTCTTGACTTGAATTTTGCTTTTGTTCACTTTGCCTACTGGAACTGAAACTCTTAGGTAGGATGTCTGGTCACAGGCTAGCGAAGCCGTCTTCCTGGCAGAGCCAGACTTAGGATTTAGGACGCTGAGGGGGATTTTTGTCCTCTCTGCCTTCTGCCCCACCACCCCCTGCAGAACGGCTCTTCCCAGATTTGCCTTCCGGGGCCTCGTTCCGTCCCGTGACTGACTGGCCTGCTCGCAGGCAATCCTCGTTCGTGCTGACGGTGCCACGGACTTCCACGGCGCCACTCCTCTCCGTTGAGCTGCCATTCTACTCTGTCACCTTGCACTCTTTCGGGAACTTCATGAACTCTGTGACTTCCTGGGCTTCAGTCTCCCATAACAGATAACTTCTGCCCCGAAGGTTCAGATTCCGCCGGCATCTTCCCGTGGCATTAGTTCAGAGCCACCGACTGGCCCGACTTAAAGAGCAGGTCCCAGGTGGCAGCTGTGACTTCATGTGCCAGCAACTTGTAAAGATTAAGGCCATCTCCCGAAGCTCTAAGAGACCTCTGGCACTCCCTTACAGTGTGTCATCACAAATGTAGGGGAGACGGTGTGTCCAGAGACATTGACCGCACGCGTCCCTGAGCCTCCGCAGAGGCTGCAGGATTGCGAAGTCTTCTGGGAAGATGGAGGGAAACTGTGGTCTCCTCTTTAAATGTCACAGGGTCCCCTTCCCACCTGTCCCCTCCCTTCCTCCTCCCCACGAAGCTGTGCCGGTAGTCTCTATACTAGGAATGTTGCCACTCTGACCCTACTTGCCCCCACCCTGCCCCCTGGAGACCTCAGGTAAAGGCTTCTCCCTTATCTTCACCCACAGTGAGAAGAAACGCTAACATTCTCTAGGACCCAGTGCATTTCCTGTCTGCAGACCGAGCATCTTAAGATCTGAATCCCTTTCCCCGCAACATCTCACTTTCCCTCCCCCCTGGGGACTAGACTGCACAGACAGGACTGCCACACGGACCTGTCTCCTTGAAGGGCCGGATGTGAGCTGGCAAAGGACTCAACGGAGAAAAGCGCTCGGGGGAGCCTTGATGGTAGGCCTTAAGAAATAAGAGAAGACCTGCTCTGTTCAAGAACCATACGAGGAAGACAAGAACAAGGAAGAACTTTCAGACTCCCTGCAATCTTGGTTCTGCTCTCTTTCGCGAGAGTTGGTCACTATCAACAGAGATCTCAGGAAGGCTAGAGCCGAGGGTGGTGACCCAGCGCTGGACCGGGGGAGCGGGGAGTGTGAGGGGAGGTGGTGGTGGCTGATGGCGAGAACATGGATCCGAGCCCCTTGGCAACGTTGACAATATGGAGCCCCCTCTCTTCCTGGTCCCCCACGCTATCCTTCAGACAGCCGTGCCGTGCCGGGCTGTCGCGGACCCTGTAATATCAACTCAACAATGCATGTTCTACAACTACGGCTACAGCTACCAGGACATCTACTACAGTGCATGCATTTAGTTCAGTCCCACAGATACATACACTCTAAGAACAGGCAGGGGAGGTGTGAAATGTTTTACTGGACAACAGGTGTTTTGGAGTTGTAACTAATAAAAAAAAAAATCGAAAACGAAAGTGTACAAAAAAAGACATTTCTTGAGAGTTGGATATGAGTTTGTTTCTTGAACTGTTTCATCTGAACAAGCAAAAACATGCAAACCAGCTGGTACTAACAGGAAGCTGGACACTGAGAGAGGATTAATAGGTGTGGACAAACCTTCCCGCTGAGCGTGCTCAGAAGAGTGTTTGAGAGGAGGTGTGCAGATCCTAGTGTAAGAGAGGCGGGAAAGTATGCCTCAGAGACACTCTCTCACCGCAGCCCCAACCAAGCAAGAGAAAAGACAACAGAAACATGACTCTCGCACTCACCACCACCGTCAGGAACTCATGTTACTAGATTGGAATAAAGCTGGCAAGTATAAAGTACAGTAAGGGGTCCTGGCTGGGGCCGGAGATGGGCTGGGGGTGGGCAGGGGGCTCAGAAGCTCTTCGACTGATACACAGACCCACCCGTAATGTCACCCAGAAATAAAATAGCCTGAAAATCCAAACCACTGCCCTCACCTGTGTGTGTGTAGGGGGTGGGGCGGGGTCGTTTACCAAAGTGGATTCAGGTTTGGGTGGGACATGATGAGGCCATTGGAACTGAATGAATACGATCAAAATAAACAAACAAACTCTCGACTGAGCACAAGGAAAGATGACGTTTCGGACTACCAGGTGAAGGTAAAAGAAAAGTGACCCACTGCTAGTGAAGTTATCTAGGAGTCGGCAGGGACCTCCCCTGGGGGGGTCACCTGAGCCCTGCTCACCTCAGACCCAGGGCGAATTAAGGCAAAGGCGGGCAGGCTGGCCCCGAGGAGTTGGCTGAGGTGGGTGCAGAGCTCACGGCCCCCCCGGACCTCCTACCCTGACACCATAGCCCTGACAGATGCGAGTTGCCAACCTGAGCAAAATCGAAGCTGTTTCCCCACCCCCACGGCCCTCAGCAGGTGCTTCCGCCTCAGGCAGCTCCCCCAGTACATCATAACATGGAAGGGAAAAAAGAAAAAAAAAAAAAAAAAAACAAAGCTGTGAAGCTAGACCAAAATGAAAGGCAAAATAGGGCCTTCCATAGGATGCCTAATCCCTGGACCAAGCCTGACAGCCAGCCCCTGGGGAGCAGAGGCCTCGTTTCCTACCCTTTTCCAACCACCTGCCAGGGGCAGCAGAGTACCGAGCTCAAGGTCGGTACTCCGCAGACCCCCTGAACCAGCTTCTTCCTATAAGAGAATGCGCCTGAACTTGTGACGCCCTCCAACGGCTGAGGCTGCTTGCTCGGGAGGCTGAAGGAGCATCCCTGTCCCGCTGGAAGGAGCTGGCATGGGTGGGGCAGGATTGCAGGAGCAGGTGAAGGTAGAACAGGGCGGTCGGCTGTCCGTGATCATCTGCTGGCTTAGGCTGATGCGCAAACCCAGAAGAGTCTGGGCAGCCCCTTTCCCATATCTGCCAAAATGCCACCGAGGGCCACTACAACAGGTAAATAATTGGCCATCCCACCAGGCTCGGAGTCCAGATTATCTTCTAGCAGGAGGGAGGGGACAGTCCTTACAGGCCAAACCACACTGAAAGAAAGAGAGGTAGAGATCCTCCTTCCCCCATCTTGTAACCCTGCTCCGGGTCCAAAGCGGGGATGGAGGTGAGGGGCTGGGCTACCCTGTCTACACGGGGGCAGGTGTCTTCCAGCTCAGGTGGTGGTCTGACTTTAGCAGGCACCGGCTGGTCGTCGCCCTGGGGCTTACCCCAGGCCCCTGACCCCCAGGCAGCACTGTGGGGTGCCCTGTATCTTCCTGGCTGAGCCTGCAACCCTTGGGGGCAGGCACCTCGGAGTTGAGGATTTACTCCTTGCACTAACCTAGGCTGGTGTGGGGCAGGTGGTCTGGGAGCACACTCCTGAATAGAATTCACTAACAGTGCAGCGATGAGCATGGCTGACCTCGAATGGCCCCTGGGAGACTTGGCTCCCGATGGAAATGGCTACAAATAAAACACCACTGATCCTGGAAAAAAAAGTGTGGTTGGAGATGGCTCTGGAATTTGGGGTTAGGAGTTAGGGGGAGGATGGATGGGACTCCTGCCTGGCTCTCGGGGGTGGGAGGGAGGGGCGTGAGAGGGTGGGGGTGGCAGGGGGGGCAGAGACCATGGGGAGACCGCTCTCAGACTCACAAAGAACCCCATGCTGCCCTTTAAACTTGCCATGACGTCAAGGAGAATGGGGGTGGGGAGAGAGGCAGGGTTAATTTCGGGTTAAAGTTTAGTTTCATAATCCAAGTTATAATAAAGAAAGAAACTGAACGGAGAAAACAACCAACAACACTCAAAAATCTCGAGGTTTCTTTTTGTGGTTCCCCTCCCCCCCCCCCACTAGGCACAGGTAGGACAGAGGCTCATTTGTAATGATACCAAAAAGCACTCAAGTTAAAAAACCAAACAGAACAGGGAGACACGAGGCAGCGGCGCGCCCCGCCCCCAGGGCAGGGGGCACCAAGGAACACGGGCCAGAGGGCAGGTGGGGCTGCTGGAGGCCCGCTAGGGCAGGCAGAGGCTGAGGACGGGCGCCCAGCTCTCCGGCTAACTGACCCTCAGCAGCCCCCAGACAATTCCCGGCCCCTCCAAACAAATCTCCAATGGGTGATTTCGGGGAGTGGATCCTTTGTAGCTCGAGGCAGTGCCAGTTTGCATGGAACGGATTTGTACTGATGTTCCTAAAGGGCCTCCATGTGCCAGTCTCTTATCACTGAGGGTTTGGGTTTTTGGCATTTGCCCTCTGGGCTTTTAACGCCCCACTTCCTGGCACCCCACCAGCACCTCCCTCCCCCCACCCTCCTCAGAGCCCGGTCAGACTAATTGCTTCCCTGGGTGCTCCAGTGCCCTGTCCGAGGGGTGTTGGGCTGGGGGGTGGGGGGAGGAGCCGCAAACCATGGCTACTGAGTCCAGGAGGAGCAAGGGCCTCTCAGTGGCTGGGGAGTGGAGGCCAGGAGGCCTTGCCGGGGGCCCAGCACACAGCAGAAGCCCCACGTGCTTAGGAAGGTGGGGGGCATCTGGGGGACAGGGCATCCTTGACACACCCCAGCTCCAGCCTGACCCCACCGAGCTGCTGGGAAAACGTTCTCACCTCACTTGAGGGGCTCTAAGACCTCAAAGTTTGGGCTTGGAGACTAAAGGACCAGGGCAATTTTATGCAAGAGATAATCCCATCGCCCTCGGGCAGGTAGGGTCTAGGAGCTCTCTGGTCTCTGCTACAAGGAGAGTCCAGGATGCGATAGGGGGCTTCAGGAAATCGCTTCATTCCACTGAGGTCAGCCCCACTTCCAGGCTTCCGGGACTCGGGCTTTAGCCCAATCAGCAAGGCCATCTGCCAGGTGCGGCAGGGGCCCCGAGGCCAGGAGCACGCCCGTGGGCCCTGAGCTTCCCTCTCACAAGCTAGAGCTTCTCTGGCGGGGTCAGAGGCTCCTGGAAGGGAGCCCCTGTGAAGCAGCAGTGAAAGCTGAGGAGGGAAATGACCAACAGGTGCCCTGAAGCCGGCTGTCAGGGGAACGGGCCATCCAAAGTCAAAAAGAAGTTCACTGGTCTTTTTTCAAAGAGCGAATCACGGTCCACCTTTGGTGTGCAGTCCTGAGACTGACCCCCACGGGGAGCTGCCCTGGGTGGCAGGGCCTGGCCCGCGCCCCCCTGTCCCCACCCTCCGGGCTGTGGTGACAGTAGTGGACAGACGCAGCCACACAGATCCAACAGGGCCTTTACCTTCCCCCGCACACTGGGGCATGCCTGGGAGCGCCTGTCCCACACACCTCCCTACCTGATCCTCTTGCCGCTGCCACGGCCGCCGCCGCCACTGGTCCGTAAGCCGCTGCCGGGAAGCCTGGCGGGGAGAGAGGAGCCGGAGTAAAGGAGAGATCTCGGAAAGGGCCCTGCATCAGACCGGGCTCACAGGCCGCGCTCACCCCCCTTCCCGCAGACGGGAGTGCAAAGGGATCTCCTCGGGACAGCTCTCAGGAGGGACCCGGGTCAGTGGCTCTCGGGCTTCCGGCAGGCACAGCGCCTTTAGGTGTTTTTGATTCCTACACATGTGGCACCCCAGAAACCAGTTCTAAAAGGAACACGGGAGTAATTGGAGAGGATTGGGAGAAACTTCTCTTGGGAGTGGGGTGGGGCCATTGCTGCCCCCGCACCGATCGAGGGGTGTGTCCAGAGCAGGGCCACGCATGGCCCAGGGATCCCGGGAGTGGTTGGGACCCAGCCTCTTGGCAGAACAGGCACCTGGGCCAGGAGGTCGCTGAACCCAGCCGCTCTCCTAAGGCTCTGCCTGCCTTAGCTCCTCTGCTTAGCTCCGGACTAGCTCACGCTGGCAGGCCAGGGGGCCAGGTGTGCTGGGAGTCCCAGCTGACTGTGTACACA